TGCATCTTGAAAAGGTAGCTTAATGGGAGAGTGGGAGGAGGCCTTTAAGTAGGCCTCCTTCTCTTGGGCCTGGGCTTGGCCCTAGGGCTTTTCTACATGGTCCTTGTCTTGGATTTAGACTAATTCTCCCTCTCTTTCATCCTCCAATTGGGTCTGAATTCGTTCTTCTTGTACCACAATTTTCTACTTGTCTAGGTCCTCTTAGTATTAGCCCTTAACTCCCTCACAATTACTTTGAATTTATATGTTAATAGATCAATTAGTAACTTATTGACTGAATGGTTATATTATTCATACAAACATAGAGAATATTGATAAGTTTAAGGGATGTGAAAATTTTTATTTCGATCATTTGATTTTCTAAATTTTTAATAATTTTAATATTGCAGAACGATATAAAATAAGGTAAGAGCATGATTCAAAACTATCTTTAAATAAAGCACTTATAGTTGCTAATTACACTCAAATCACCATATTTGATAGGGTCTCTCTTTGAATCTTGCATAAACCATTTTTCAAAGATTCTTAGGCAAATTTGAATAGAATTCTAAGCTTCTTTGATGACGTGACTACAATGAGTTTGATGAATCATTCTAGAACATAAATAAGATTTTCAGCCTGTTCTTAGCATCAATACCATTTGCATTCAAATAGCTTCAAGATGTGAAGAAAAACAAATATTTTCAAGCACAACTCAATTAGCTCTTCATCAAATTCTAGCTATGATTCAATTCTTTATCAATCTCCAAAAAAACTCACCAATTAATTATTTTGTTATTTGCTTACAACAAAATTCTAGGATTCACTTACAATCGTGAATCTAACTAGATTTTTGACTAGTAATGTCAAGGGAATTGAGTCATTACAATAAAAAGAGTGTAAATTAAGGAATTAGGTGAAGCCAAGAATTCTGTGTTCTTGGTGATGTAGAGTATACAAGTGGTCTAACTACTACAAAAATTTTAATTTCTTCAAGATCTATAAATCTATGAGATCAAAAGTAAGTTAAAATTATAAAAAAGATTAAAGTTAAGAATATTTGGCCCATAGTCAAAATTAGAATTTAATCAATTAAACCCACACTTCTTGATCTTAATGTTGTCACAAATATAAAATGTTTTCCAATTTTGTTTAATCTTTCAAAGGGACTAGTTTATCCCCTCTTAATTTTTTATTTTCATGGCTCTCATGGTCTTCTAAATTTTTTTGTTGATAAAATTAATGTAAGGAAAAAATAATTATTTCAATGTCAAACTTATGTTGAGTGTATCTCAAAAGTTGTCTAGATATTGATCTGATCCTTAGTTGAGTCATCTAATATGATTTTAAAATCACTTACAATGTCTCATCTGTCCTTCCTTTTTCTCAATCACAAACTTGACCTATAAGTTGACTCACTTGGTTAGAGAAAATGGTTCTTATACTTATACTAACCAAGACACCACCTAAGAGTATATTGGTAATTTGATATTAGAAGCATGTTTCTCACCTTAGATTCCAATATTATATTCTAGCACTTAATAGAAGGATATAGTTGTCATGTATATTATAAGCATATTTGTGTGACCTCTAATCCATTGGGAAACTCCCCCAAGTATTTGAGATTTGTTATTTGAAAAAATTGTACTTTCACTTATAAGAAGTCAATTGATGAGTTAGGATTAGTGCATGGCAATTAGAAGTAAACTATAAATCTTTTTTATAGTACTACTACATCACATTATAATCCCTCTAATATTTAAAGTGAAACCGCATCTAATAAGAAGATTTGAAGCACATAACTTAATAAGAATGTTTTTAGTTAAAAATCAATCCCTCTAATATTTAAAGTGACATTCCATGGTCTAAGAACTAGAAATTATTAACATTTTAAAGTAAAGCTTCTATATGACAAAAGAAGCCTTCATATCTTTGAGACAACATATTCATGTTCAAAGAAATATGCAAAGATTGTAAGAACTTGTTTATTCTATTTTCTAATATTTTCCACATATTCATTTGAGATGGGTCAGAATTATTAGTTGGCCACTAATATGATATCACCCTTTAGACAGTAAAAATAGTCCTAACATGTCAAGCTACAAATACTTATGATACTTACATTTTCTTGATTTTTTTGGAATCTACATAGTGGATTGACCTTTATTTACTAGGTGAAATTAAGTGGAAAATCATAGTTGTTTTCTTAGCCCCTAAAAATAGGCACTTCGTTATCTCAAACCAACTTGTACTTGCCACTACATGGATAGTCAATAGAAAATACATTACTCCTCTAGAATAAATCTAAATATGTTGAGGCATGTTGTTGCCATTGTATTCAAAAAAATTGTATTAATAAGAGTAATAAAACTTTAATGTTGTGCCACTAGAAGAGTAAAGTTAGGAGTCAAATAACCATACAAATTTTGATGTTTATTTCTAATTTAGAAATGTAGATGGTTTATCTTAACTACACTATCATAAATGATGTCTTCATTACCATGAGTTAATAATTAATTATTAATATATTTTAAGTTTTAACTCATAATAAATAAAATTATATTTATGTTAAATGGTGAAAATGGATTTTAGCTAGTTATTGAGAATTTTTGGCTAATTATTTTATTTTATGTAAATTTATAAATTTATAATTATATTTTAAGATAATTGAAGTAAAATAAAATAAATAAAATAAAAATATATAAAAAGAGTGGAATCCATTGACTAATAGGGCCTACAAGCAAGTCAGAAACATAGTCAAGTAGAGTTGTGAGCAAGGGGATTGAATAGCTAAGGACTAATATGAGACACATGTGCATTACTCCTCTTCTACATCACTAGTGGTTAGCTAGTCGTAGAGTAAGGAGTGGTCTTACACATGCAACGAAAAGGTTTATTGATGACAAAATCTTGTGTTATTATATATACACCTTAAAACTCAAAAAATAACTGATGTGAGACTAAATTGGTGTCACAATTTTTCATAATTTTTTTAATAATTTTAATACCTAAATCTCTTATTTATGAGAAGAAGATACTCTTATGACGTCACTTAATAAGTGCATTCACATATTTATTTCACTCTCTCTCATGTAGGTAGGTGACTAATGAGTGTTTGAATTCTATTAGAGTTAAAATTCATATTTTTATCTAATTAAATTATAATTTTTCTACAAATTGTTAGTGAATGATTAAACTATTAGAATCACTCAATCACTAATAAAAATATCAAGATAATTTATAGAGCATCATTATTAAAATTGTCAAATCATTTTAGATAAAACTATCACGAATCTATCGAGTTAAAGATCTTTAATTGATCGATGAATAAGTTATTATTTAGAAAAGGATGATCCATTAGGAGATGAGTCATCACCTCCTTAGAATATATTAGATGCAATGAAGAATCTCTATTTGCTACACGGGCTTCATGATAAAACTTTCTAAGATGCATCTCACCTCCATTTAATTTATCTCTATCAGGTGACAACTATCAATGATTTGCAAAGTCATTATATTTTTGCTCTATTAAGTGACAACTATTAGAGATCATTTGATGACTCACTTTATTAATTTTTAGACTTCGTAAGAAAATCTAAAGATTGTTCACATTATCTATATCTAAAGAGAGCCTTCGAGGCTATAGACATTGTTCGATAATTTTCTTAGAAATAAAATTCCAATGATCATTGTTGCAAAGCCAAAACTTTACATTTCTTATTTTTAAAATTTATTTTTACTTAATTTAATAATATTTTGTGTGATTTTAAGTTTCAAAACTATTCTTTATTAAAATTATATATTTTTTAGTTTTTACATAACTTAATTTGATCAATTAAGTCATCTGTAATTACGTCATCTTATGTTTGTAACCTTATTTTTATTTTCATAAAATTTTAAATATGTTTTATATTCATTGTTTAGTCTAAAAATTATAAAAAATTATGTCCTTTTAGAAAAAAATTAAAATATTATTCAATATTATTTTACATCCCTATAATTGATTTGAATATTACTCACTATTTTAAAACCTTTTATCAAATTATAACTAATTAATTTATTCTAAAATATTTCTAAAAATCTAAAAATCAAGATTTTCTAGTTTTATAAATTTAAAATTTATGTGATTTATTTTATAATAATTAGCTCATGTCAATAAACCCTTGACCCATTTTTATAACATAGACTGAAGGAGCGAACTTATTTAGTTCAAATAATGCCTTAGTGAATTGGCATATAGGTGCAAACTTAGCTCTCTTATTGGTTCATATTTTGGCCAACTAAAGGCTAGCAACAGTAGTAATCTTCTCGCTTGATTCATTGAGATGATTTAAGTTTTTCAATCATCTCTTTTAAAAACTTCATCCCAAACATTTCCACTTTGAATTAAACAATTTTGAATTATTTTGAATTTTTATCTCATTCCCATCAAATTGGGTGCCCAACATAGCTTGAGAATATTGAAATTTGTGTAATGTGGAAATATTCAATATCAACATATCACACAAATTAAAGTTGATGAGTTTATTGAAGATTAAAAGCTGCTATCTATCCATTATTTTCTTATTATCATTACAGAAATACGTTTTTTAGATGTTCATCTTAATTACTCTCTTAGTTAGGTTTCTCCAAATAACCAGTTGGCCATTTGGTGAGGCATTATTTCCACATTACTCAAAGAGCTATGACTTCTGCCAATCCGAAATTTAGTTGGAAGCATCGAGAGAATGCCAAAAAGCTTTCACATTGATAAGATGTGAATAATAATCTAAACACTTTTCAACGATGGGGAGTTTTAACCAAAATTTAATGCCTAATTACCTCGATCATTACCCCTCCCATCAATGGCATGGTCATCAGAGGAGACAAAGGGTGGCCAAAGAAAGTAGTGGGTCTTGGAAGGAGTGAGAACAGTCGGAAGATTATTTATTCATGGCGCATGAATTTACAGCAATGCATCAGATGAAAATCGTACATATAATTAGTGCCAGAGAGACCACAGGAGAAGCGGACGGCCAAACTTACAGGGATTCGAGGAAGTTCATGATGGCCAAGCCAGCGGCCCAGACGTCCTCCTCAAGCACGTACTCCTCCGGCGAGTGGCTCACCCCACCGCGGCACCGGACGAACAGCATCCCCACCTGGCCGCCGCCCAAAATCCTCCGTCAGCCCTTCATGCCAATTTTAGAGGGGGAGGGAGGAAGGAGGAAGAGGAAGAAGGAAGCTTTATAGAGGAGAGTGAGGAAAATGAAGGAGGACGTATAGAGTGAAGAGGAAGAGGAAGAGGAAGAAGGAAGCTTTATAGAGGAGTGGAGAGGAAGATGAGGAAGGAGGATGTATAGAGGGGTGGGGATGAAGGAAGATGTATAGAGGAGAGAGGAGGAAGAGGAAGAGGAGGAACCTTGGTGAGGTGAGACATGGCCATGGCGTCGTGCCCGGCGCCGCTCATCATGACGGGAGCTTGGGTTTGGGTGAAGCCGCCGGAGATCTCGCGCGCCGCCGTGCGAGCTGCCCACTCGAGATGCGACGACAGAGCTGGGTCGCAGCGGACTGCTCCAGCGCTGTGCTGCAATATTTTTAACCGCAATCGAGCGAACTGGATTTAGACTTATCTCTCTATACATATATTAGTGGAGGATGAGATTCATTGAGAGGAAGATGAGGGCGGACCGACCTTCTGCTCGACGGTGCAGAGAACCGACCGCCGGTCGCAAATCTCGTACAGCTGCTCGGAGAATTCGAAGATCACGGCCTCGCGGGCCTCGTCGTCTATGGCTCGCAGGTCGACGGAGAAGGTCACCTGTAAGACAAAAGAAAAGACCAGATAAGCAATACAATCCATCACTTCATTCAGGATTAGACATTACAGTAGATGGTGGAAGAGGATGAGGAGGGAGGGTGGTGCCTGGCCGGGGATGACGTTGCTGGCGCCGGGCCAGATGGAGATATCTCCGACGGTGCAGACGAGGCCGTCGATGGAGTCGCCGGAGAGGGAGCGGCACTGTTCTCTGCGGTTCAGGAACTTGGCTGGAGATTTGCAGAGGGTTTCCAGGAAGAGGATGAGCTCGGCGGAGGCCGCCATGGGGTCCTGCCGCATGGCCATGGGGATCGTCCCCGCGTGCCCCTGCGAGCCTCCCACCGTCACCTGTAAAAACCCACCGCCACAAACTTCTCATCATCATCATCATCAGCAGAAGAAGAAGAAGAAGAAGAAGAAGAAGAAGCCGCCGCTATTCATGCGGTGTAGTGTAATCTGGACATGAAGATGATGACGAGGAGATAGCGTAAAAATGACGTCACTAGAGGAAATAACGATCCCAGAAAAGAATGACCTTTAGTCGTGTCTGGCCGGCTATGCCTTTGACGACTCCAAGAGGATAACCGAGAAACTCCAGCACTGGGCCCTGTTCAATGTGGACCTGCGGAAACAGCACGTGGGTTCGTCTTTAGATTAATAAAAAAAAGATAAAACCTTTTTTTCTTTTGCGCCCACTTTTCAATCCGTCGTCTCCATTCAAGATTAGAGAGCGTGATTTACCTCCACATAACCCCAGACCGAGCTTGGGTCGTACTTGAGCTGGATGAGACTCTCCTCTGTGGCTTCCAAGGAGTTGGCCTTGAGAACATCCCGGAGAGTGGCACCACTGGAAGGGATTCGGTGGAGGTATAGAAGAAATAAGATTTTTTATTTTTATTTTTATTTGAAATGGAGAAGGTGGAAAATGATGATGCCCACAAGGGCTAACCTCTTGTCGGATATTTCGAACGCCTTGGCAGGTAGAATACCAGCGACGGCAGAGCTCCCTAGGAACGTGGATTGGAACCTGACGCCTTCCTCGTCACTGAAGGCAATGACCTGTCAAGTTCGGGAAGGATTCAACGCAGATACACAAGGTATTAAGATCAGTGTTGGAGCCATTTTTAAAGGAAAAAAAAAAACGATGGCAGAGTGATAATGATCCAGGTTGTCGGCCAGTGGACATTAAAGATGTCTGCTCATTTTTCCGGAAGTGATTGAAAGACAGAAAACACTCCGTTATTTCTACATATTCTTAGAATGTCTCATCATTCCTGACCATTGGGCTTTTGATTTTTCATGTTTCAACAATGATATCAAAATAACTGCAATTGTTCGAGGAAACGAAGTGAGAAGCTGCTATATACAGCCTTACAACCGTGATGAAATTTGAAGATCAGCATGAAGGTAGTGCTAATCTTTTATATGGTTTTGATATTAAAAATACAGTAAGTTTCTCCCACAGAGCTTCTAGAAAAACGAGCAGTGTAAGAGAGCACACAGTCAAGAACGGTTAAAGATTCACTGCAGAACTTTCACTACATCGTTCTAATTACTTTCATCACGATTTGCTGATCATTTAGGATAGTTCTTAACTGATTATTGTCTATAAGCAAGAAAGTTTTAGGGAGATTTTTAATACCTCCACTGGGCGTTTCAGGTCGTTCAGCCTCCCCTTCTTCATCAATGCTTTGACCGCAGCTATTGCTGAGATCACGCCTAATGTCCCATCGTAAAATCCGGCATCAATTACTGTGTCCTGTTTCAACCGTAAAGTTTTTAACCATCAAAATGTTGGAAATTTCTCACACGCTGAATTCAAAGGAGAGAATGAGAAATAGTGACTATTTACAATGTGAGAACCAATTAATAGGGCTTCCGCACTTGCATTCCTACCATCAACTCGCCCATGTACGTTGCCCATTTGATCCACCCATCTAGAGGAACAATTATTGTATTTAAGTTCTGGCTATCAAAAATGAAGAAAAAGGAAAGAAAAGCTTGCCGGATAACAAACGTTTTAAGACCAGCATCCTTCATCCAATCAAGAACTTGCTTGCTAGCTCGAGTAAACGCTGGACTCAAGAATGTCCTCTCGAGGTGACCATCAGCATCTGTCACCTGAAATGAAGAGATTAAAAAAGTCAAAATGTATTATTACTATCTAATTTATTTCACATTATAAGCTATTAACTCAGCGGGAAGAAATAGAGAAACGACCTGCAGCAGTGGCACATTTAGGAATGATTAACTCAGTTTTGTAAAAAAAAGATGACATAGTGTGATCATGTTTACTTTATTTAATAATAAGACTTATGGTAGACAGTCACATGCTGACCAATCTCTGCTAAATTTGAATGATTTCTACAAGAATGGTAGCAGTGAGAGAAGAAAAGAGGCATTGAGAGTTAAACAGGGCATAACTTTGAACTGGTCTAGTCGGTGATTCGAGGGCAATTATGGACGAAAACAGGAACTTATCCGCAAGCATATATCGACCAAACAATTTTCGTAAAGTCATAAATGGGATCTCAAATTAGAATGCTCTATCGACAGCGGTACGGTGAATTAATAACATTTCGCCTCCCCTCAAATAGAAATAAAATCCAACACAACTGAGAGAGAAACCCTGCGGGAACATATGGAAGGACAGTGAACAAGGACAAAAGGTAGAGAGAATTCCAGATTCAAGCTACAACTTCGGCAGCTCAGAAAGGTTCAAAATCGTTCGAATGTATATTAACCTCAAAAACTACGGCCACGATTTAAAAAAATGTTGTGATCGCAGCTGGACCGCATCGGATGGTAAAAAAACATTTTCTCACCACAGCTCCTGGGTGAAAAATAAAAAGAGGAAAGAGATGCGCAAGCAATAAGCCACGCCTACCCAGTGAGATAAAAGTTGAAGTAAATACCCACACAACATAGGAAAAATGATTTTAAAAAAAAATATATTTATAAAGGTCGAATGTTTGGCTGGTTTGCAAAATTTGGCTTCCATTTGATTAATAAATAATTAAGAAAAGTTTGCCAAGCTCTTTTCTTGAGGGAATTTCTTTTGGTTTACATTTCTAAATCTAGGTAGACTAAAGATCCAAATAGAGATGATGCTTCTTGGTGTTATTTATTCGGAATTGATCTTCTCGAGATACATATATTTTAAGCCGATTAAAAAGAACCTTGAATGCATCTTCACAGAGAATCATCTCAGTGATAAATGAAAAGGCTATCAAATTTGTGCAGACAGAAGATCAATTGACAGAGATGAACGGAATCAGGCAAGTCACCTTTTGCAACTTGGAGATCCGTGAGAATAAGTTATCCAAGCCGAAGGCAGAAAAAATGATTTAAAATCTTATTTTTGCTATATGTCCTCCCCATTATCAATGGGAAAGATCCCCACAGCACGTTGTCCTGGTAATCTTTCTCAAAGAAAGAATCACATACTCATGAGCATTCCTATCTTTACCCAATCTTTAATTGAGTGGAATAATCTTATACAAGACAGAGATCTATCGCTCGTCTGTTTCCTTATAACGTAACTCAAATGGATCCTGTTTTCTTAGATGCCACTGTTCTGCTCGTGCAATAGGATGAAACAAAGCTGGTACAAGTTTTCACACAGAAACGTTATATAAGATAAAAAACAGCAAACGAAAACAAAATTTTCGAGTTCGAAACAGCTATGAACAGAACCAAAAACAGATTAATCTCAGCTTCTATACGCATAACAGAAAGGTAACTCAATTATAGCTTTCTGCAACGTACATCCGAGGGAGAAAAGAGTTTTGTGGAACTCAAAAAATATATAAACAGAAAACAAATCCTTGAATCTCTTGTTCGTGCAGCAATCACAACAACAAATGTCAACACTTCTAAACACATTTACAACTGTTAAAAAGGAGAATAGAAAACACGGGGAAAAATATCAGCCACCACCTATACCTTCCCAAGTTCGTAGAGTCTAGCCACCGCTTCATCCCTTAGGGTCTCCGCGAAGAGCTCGTCTCTCCCGGCTTCCCTGCCTTCCTCATCCAGGCCTGAACACAAGGGGATGAAGAAACCTATCAGCGAAGAGAAAAACCAAGGCATCCCTTCGTCTCGTTCGGACAGGACACATTGGAAAGAGGTGGCAAACGCGAACTTCTCTCCTGGGAACCTGGGAGGCGAATCCCTGCGGAGGCCACGGAAAACCCGGCAAACACAGCTACAATCACGAAGAGGACGCTGGCTCTCGAGGAGGAGGCACGGAGAAGATGAGCAGCAGCCATCGCCGCGGCCGCCACTCTGGCGTCTGCGTTCTACCGCCGTCTAATGCAGACAAAAACAGAAACAATGAAGGCAGACCAGCCACGTCTTACGGCCACAACGGTTACCGTGCGCTCTCGGCGCCGCCGTCTTGACTCTTCCAACCGAGGGTCCCGATCTGTCAGTTCTCCCGGCTGCAAGCTTGGGCCCCACATATCGGACGGCTGATAGTAACCCCCGTAAGCCATGACGTGGACACTGTTAATCAATGCACCCTTGTTTAGTTTAAAAATACGCAATTGGCATCGGAGAAAAGAGAATACGACACGTGCCACGTTCAGCTCATTCTGCTCGGTGCGACACGTGCCTTATTTTTTTAGAATAAATAAATGGAAAATATGTTAATGTCGTTTTTTGTAAATCATAAAGCTCAAGATAAATAAATTGCTATTTCTCGTTTTATCCAAAAGAGGGATTTTTACGCGAATCTAGTTTTCTTAGCGAGAGAGAGAGAGAGAGAGAGATCCACGTGGTTCGATATGGAGAGGGTTGCGGACAAAATATCCCTGTGTTGTTGGGATATTAAGAGACTGCCCACTTCTCTGAGGCTATTAAGATCCAAAGGCTTCATGAAGACGGAGGCGAGAGAGGGCCCACCCGCTGCATGAATGGTGACGGGGCTTTTGCTTCATGTCACGCCAGAAGAGTCGCTACCTGTTGTTATTCCGATTACCATGTTCAGAAGACAATAACGAGGGCCAATGAAATTACTCCACATGGCACCCATCTTCATTCTTACCCAAAAATAGATGATGGGAACATAGCCCACCATCTAAGTAGGCTTGCTGACTGACTGATGATCATCCTCCGGACCTCACTTGTCCCATCGACAGAAGCCAGGCTAAAAGTCAACATACCACTTTTAGAGACAGAGACAGAGAGAGAGAGAGAGAGAGAGAGAGAGAGAGAGGGAGGGGGTTACATCAGAATGAAGAGCAAATTTACATGGTAACAAGTATATTAAATTAGACAAAATTGAGATCGTTGGATGGAAAATGTCAGGATCACAGCCTTACATTTTATTTTTTTTAAAAAAAACCTGCTGCCTTCATAACCACAAAAAGATCTATTTTTTCAAATCGGGAAATTGTGAAAATATTATACAGAGCTCATAATTATTTGCCAACGGTGAATAGTAGCTTCATCCGATGAAGAAATAAAGTTACTTACTTTCTTACTTGCTTGGCTTCTTCGGGGTCGGCTGGGGAGGGCCCGAAGTGATTGGGTAGCAGGAAATCCTCTTGCAGGAAGGCTTGGCTATCTCAACGAAGATGGCCCTCCCATCGATGATCTACAGCCCCGGCCGGGGAGAAGAGGGAAAGTTGAGCGGCGGCAAGGGGTAAAAAATTCACAGAGAAAAAGGAAGTTTTTTTTTTTTAAAAAAAGTTTCCGGGCCCCTATGTTTCAATATGACACCTGTAACTCCAGCAAGAAGAACATTCAAACTCTAGCAAGTCTCCCCTGTGACAGATGAATTATAGATAAACGTGCCTATAAGTGAGTTGGGGCGTATAAATCAAATGCATTAAGCTCATCTATAGAAATAAACGCTTGCAGATAGATAGATAGATTGATAGATAGCGAGAGAGAGAGAGAGAGAGAGAGAGAGAGAGAGAGAGAGAGAGAGAGAGAGAGACAGAGACAGACAGACAGACAGACAGACAAAGACAGAGACAGAGGGAGCAACTGACATTGAGTAAAATTTTTCGAGGAGTTTGCAGTGTTATGTGAAAACATGGGGGATTATTGCTAGCCCCGGTGTTTGTAGGGATTTAAAAAGAAAAATAAATTAAACACCCAGAGGAGAAATGCTGCAAGCGTTTGCTTAATACAAGGAAGATCTGAAGGGAGATGCCTCACCTTCCCGTCCATGTGCTCCAGGGCCAGCACCGCCTCATCTTGAGAAGAATATTGAACAAAAGCATAGCCTTTGGGCTTCTTCGTGTCCTCGTCTCTAGCGATTTTGACTGCCAGAAAGGGGGGTAAAGAAACGAGATTGAAGTTTGGTTATAATCCCATGAGCAAAGTGGAGAGTTGATGATGAATAGAAGAGATGACAAGCTCTTACCTTCTGCTATTTTCCCGAAATAGGAGAACGCATTCTTCAGGCTGGTCTGGTTCGTCGAGTATGAAAGATCTGGGCGAAGCATAAAAGACCGTGGGAGATTAGAATCGAGGGATATGAAGGTGAAAACTGGTGTAAGAACGTGAATTAATGATTTAGGTGAATCTCTATAGTTCCACTAAAAATTGAGTGGTAACATATATAGCTGTTCAAAATCCGTAGAAATGGAAAGAGAATCGGAATGGTGCTCTCTTTCTCTGCATATATATATATAAATGGGCTGAGCTGACGAATGATTAAAGTATACTGGAAGATATTATGATGGGCAGAATGTTGCTGCAATCTGATTAGCAAATGAAAAATAAATTGGGGCCTTGTTTCGAAGAGCAATCGTGCAAGATGCAAGCTATCTAGTAGAGCTGGGAACTGTGTGAAGCAAAAAAGGATGTTTAAAGGAGAAGCACTCTCTGTGTGTGCAAGAACGAGAGAGAGAGAGAGAGAGAGAGAGATATCTCTGCTTGGTGGTCTCCTTCATTCCGAATGCGACCCCGAAAAAATAACTCCATGAAATATTCTACACGTCTTTAAAATTTCATGAAGATTTGATGATAATTCTCAGTACAGAACAAATCTTTCCTCCCCAACCCTGAAATTTCCGGGATGAAAATGTAGAAATCAATCATAAAACCCAAATCTAGGAGCAAATATTACTGTAGCCAGGGTTTTACAGCATTCATCTCCGACATTTCCGGCTTGACGGGATCTAATTCATGTCCACATCGGGTAACATGAAGAACTACTGTGGATGAATGTTTGGGTGTTGCTTGAAAAATGAGGGGATCACATTGGAATTGAAAAATCTTTGACTACCAAAAATACTTTCTGGGTTTTCGTGGATTCTATAAGAGAAGGCTCCCTCAAACCTTCACAATCTTGCTTTTCGTCTAAGAGAAACAGGCGTCTCCACCCAAATGAAATCTATGAAATGTTGATCGAAAGTAGGGGAGGTAGGTGAAGAAAGAAGTTTCCATGGTGCCCCCAGATGAATCATCAGGATTCGTGCTCAAATTAATCTAGTCGAATCGACAGTCAGACGTATGGTTTGGGTTCTAATTCCCAGTCTGGGAAGATGAACCAGTTTGGCTGTTGCGTGGTTTTGTGACACCATCTCTCAGCATTTTATCAGCTTGGCAGGCACATCAGTTCTCCATTCTCTCCGGTGAATTTCCCTCTGATTCTTGTTCTTGATCTTCCGGACGAGTGAGTCTGATCCTCGGGCTGTCTTCCGCAGCTCAGTCATGAACATTTCTCCATTATCGCAGAACAGATATGCTGAGTCTACCCGCACTCTCCGGTATCAATAAGAGCAGCACATGCATGTTCTTCTCCCGATTGGAAGTCCAACTCTCCGTCAATTTGTGAAGTATATTGCTCCTGGAAAATTCTCCGATCTCGAGGATTAGATCTTAGAGAAATTGATCAAACTATAAGAGAACTCCTCAATCCAGATCCACACAGATTCATACAGAGACCGGCGAGAAATTCGGCAAAACTCTAAACCCTAGAACATCGTGAGGTTTCGCAAGAAAAGAGCGGATGCAGAAATCCGGGAGAAGCGATCTTCCTGTCTTCACCGCCATTTTCTTCCTTGTTTCGATGATAGTACTTACTTCTGACGAAGATCCTGCTCGCCGGAGGGAACTCTTTGGCGTGGGAAGCCCTCGGAAAGTGCGCAGATGTAGGCTGAGGCGCGAAGGACGAAGAGGCTGAGTTCAGGGAGATGGCCAGGTTCGCCGAGAAGACCTGTGCAGCTCCTAGCATCGCTCTTAGAGAGAGAGAGAGAGAGAGAGAGAGAGAGAGAGAGAGAGAGAGAGAGAACGGCGGCAGCGGCAGTGGCGGCGATGGTAAAAGTGACAGAGGAATCGGCCAGGGATAGGAAGTCGGCGGCCGTCGATTCCGGAGGATTCCACGGGGACTGATATGTCCACATGTCAGCTGTAAGGTCAACAAGTATATAGCCTCCACGCATCCTCTCTCCTCGCTGTTCTCCCTCTCCCAGGCTGAGAGATGGAGAGGACGACGTCGACGGGGGCGACGGTGGCGGCGGTGGTGGCGGTGGTGGCGGTGGCGGAGATGACGGGATACGTGGAGGTGAAGGCAGTGAGGGGGAGGTCAACGGTCACTCGCTGTTTCTCCAAGTATCCCATCAAGTTCCTCGTCCCTGCAAAGGTCTTCTCACACGACTTCTCTGCTCTCCGTTTCCACCACTAGTGTGATCGTTGGATCATCCTCCGAAGCTCTGATCTGTTATCCTACTTCGATCATCGAATACAAGCAGGCCGCCTGCTCCGGAGTCGACGCCGTCTGGATCTACGCCCTCTCCTACGGCGGCGGCATTGTCTCGGTGAGTCATCTGGACTAGAAACTGGAGATTAGCCGATCCAGTGCGTAATCCCGGCTATTTCGATCTGATTCGCTTCGTCTGATTCGCCTTCAATTTCGATACGATCTGGTTCCGATTGGTGGAGATGATCGGGAGTACCTCTACTTCCGGCGTAGTTTTCTGATGATGATGATGACGATGATGGAATTTCTTGTTCCTGGCGTAGGGAGACTGCGTGAGGTGCGAGATGATCGTTGGCGAGGGCTGCACGGCCGTCTTCACCACCCAGGCTTCCACCAAGGTTTCCCCGCCTCTATGCCCCTTCTCCCTTTCTCTCGCTCCATTTCAAATTTTCGATTGCCGGTCTCTGCTAGTCCGATTACAGCAGTCATTCGTTTCTGAAGCACGGACGGTTGGGAGATCGGACATTGAATCCCTACAGGTTTCAATTGCCAGAACTTCGGAGGATGATCTCTCTCTCTCTCTCTCTCTCTCTCTCTCTCCTCCATTTGAGATTTTCGATTGCCAGTGTCTGCTAGTCCGATTATAGAATTCATTCGTTTCTGAAGTGTGGATGGTTGAGAGATAGAACATCAAATCCCTGCAGTTTTTAATTTTCTACTGTCTCCCTCAGAAATATCCTCCTCTTCCGATAGAAACAAGCTACAGAACCTAAGAACTGGAGAGAACAGAATGATCATCGCTTCAATTCAGATAGAGCAATCCCTTCTCTGGATCGAGACCGCGAACAACCTCAGAACTGGAGATACCAGATTGATCATTATCTGAAAAAGACAGATATAACAGCAAGAGAAAACCTCATTTTCATCAGTTTCTTCAGATTTCACGATCTTCATATTTCATTATTATTATTATCATTATTGTTTTTCCTCTGGGGTTTGATTCTGGACAGTAGGAGCCATCAAATCCATCCATCAGATTTTACTATTTTCATCTGAAAAGCAATACTCCATCTCATTCTTCAGGTGTACAAATCTACAGGATCTGAATGTTCAGTACAGGTGCTGGAGGTATTCAATTTTTTTCTCACTCTGATGAAATTTTTTGCACCAATTGCTCGACGCCGGTCGATTCGATCACTCGAATGAAATTCATTGGTGGCGCGCTGCAGTAGGCTTGTATCAGGGGAGGAGCTCTTCTGGCGGTTGTTCCTCATCCGGTGACCTGCTTCTCCACAGCAAGGTATTCCCAGAGCCAGGTGTTCAGGATCAGCTCCGACTCCAATCTCCTTGTCGTTGACTGGCTCACAAGTGGGCGGCGTGAGAGCGGCGAGAGGTGGGACTTTGGGCTCTACAAGAGCACCAATAATATATTTCTTGAAGGAGACAAGCCCCTGTTTATTGATTCGGTAATGCCCCTCTTCAACCACACCCTCAACTCTACAGATTTTTTTTTTCTAATTTTATTATTTATTTATTTTTATCGTATAAGAACACAATCTAGGCGAGCTGTCATTTGCATGAAATTAGGCAGATTTGGAGTCAGTAATATGTAAAGTTGATGACAGCTAGTGGGGGTGCATGCATCTTCCTTTTTTGACTTTTTTTGTTGTTGATGGGGGGGGTTTGCTATGTAATTTATTTGGAAACTGAGAGACTTAAACTAGATGGCTCTTAGTGGAGCTGAAGAAGATGACTCTGTGAAATCCTGTTAAAAGAGTTTTTGCAGTATCTCCTGCTGGGAAGTCAACCCTATGCCCTGTTCTAGAAAGTCAAAATATGTTGATAAACCTGAATTAGATTTGCCCCCCAGAGGGACCATTTGTTGATAAAACCTGATCAAGCTCTTATCTGTGAGTCATGATTGGATGCAGCAGACTCAAAAGTATCCACGACGTGTTCTGGTTTCAGGTGCTCCTAGAACAGGGAGGAGGCACATCAGGCATCGCCGAGCGTATGCAGGACTACCAAGTCATCGCCATGGTCGTACTGTTAGGGTGGGCTCTCATTAAGCATGATCTTTGGTGAAAATTTTAATCCTTTTTTTCAATTTTTTTTTGGAAAGTGGAGAGGAAAATAAAAATAAAAAGGGGTATAATATCTTTCGTGCTTGGATTTCTTCATCTGAGGCTTTTTGGTGGGGAGGATTCAGGCCCAAGTTGAGACACATCCAAAGTCAACTCCAAGAGGACGTGAAGAAACTGATGTCTGGATGCTTCCGCAAGTCAAATCACGCTGGAGGACCTTACTCAAACCCACAAACCAAATATGTCCCAGAAAAACCGCCATTAATTGCTTCTTGCAGCTCCTTTGGCCCCAAGGTCAGCCTTCTCTCCCTTCTGAACGGGTTTTGAATAAAATATCTCGGCACCGTTTTAATTTTTCTTCATGGGTGGAAGAAATTCTGGGGTCTCCTCCCTTTTTCCATTCCATGTACATGGTTTTTATGTCCACGCGGCAGAGCCATGCAGGACTGAACCAGTAATGGAATGATAAATCTACAGCTTGGACGTTTTACCCTACAGCTTATTTAGCAGCTGATTTTGAGGTCAACGCCCCCCATTTTCTCAGTCCCCTCCTGTTTTCCCTTTCACATAGATGGTTTGGTTTGTACGCCCACGAGGCAGAGGCATCCTAGACTAAACTAGTAATGAAATGATAGATGCTAAATCTATAGCTTGGACGTTTGACCCTACCCAGCTTGTTTGGCAGCTGATTGAGGTCAACAGCCCCCATTTTCCAGCAGAGGTTGAAGTCAACGTTTCAAGATCTTGCTTGTAGACTTTTTTCTTGATGTCATTGACCTTTTCTCGGTTGTGGGCAGGGGGTGGGTGTTGTGGTTCGGATAGCGGCGCTTACGACGGATTCGGTCTACGAGTTTCTCCGATTTCATCTGGTTGACATGGAGCCTCTTCTTGGTGCACCCATTTACGGGTGATTTCGCCGGATTTTCTTCCTCAAGAGATCAGGATTCAACGTCCAATTAAGGTTTGGGAGCAGTCCACTACTTGTGGGCAGCGTTGACTCTGCTGGAAAAATCAGCTGCTTGGTGGATTGCAGACCGTATTGTTATTCTTGGGATCCTCCCAAAGACACTCAGCATTTTCAGTAAATGTCTCACGATACACTTCTCAACGTTGACTTACCAACGCTGTTTGTTATCTCTTCAACTATATTTGAGGCAAGTTCCAAGATCCAAGCTGCTTAGTTAGAAAAATAATCACCTGCTCCGTAATGATCATAGTTGACTTCTATCTCCGTGCTTTTGGTAAGACGGCTAGCAGTACGATTCCACTTTCAGCTCTCATCACAGGTCCCCATCATCCCCACTAAGCTGCGTTTCTCATTTCCCCACTAACACCGAGACACCGATTCACTGGATTTTGGTGGCATGGAGTTGACTTTGATGAGCAAGTCAACCTTGCTTCCTCTGTAGGCACCCTTCTACAGGAAAGTGCAAGGACAAGTGGGCATGAAATCGCTTCTCTAATGACTTTGACTTTTATTAAAAAATATGCCCAAATAGTCAACGAGAGTTAAAGAAAAAAAAAAAGGATCAGGAGTGCATGTATTGTAGGAGAAACATCCTGGGATCTTGAGAACCCACGGGCATGAACATATGATCCAGTTGAGTCTCCCCATTTGTATTGGTTGACCAATGTGCTGGGGGGCTTCCTCTAACTTGCATGCAAGCAACTTAACCTAATAAGGTGTGTGCCCCAAAAATCACATTGTCTAGTGAGCTTGATGACACGGGGCAAAACATTTGGAAAAGAAGTACATGTGAGAATACCATGGTTTTACCCATTTGGGAAAGAAATTCAGTTCTGAAAAGATAAACACTTGAGAGCTCTCAAGCAGCTACCTCAGAAGTAAGATGTCACTTCCAGGAGCTTACACTAAGCAGTCGTCCCCAAAGGAAAGATTGATGAGATACGTTGCATTGGCGACTACCAGAAGAGAGAGAGAGAGAGAGGGAGAGAGAGAGAGAAGGCGGGGATATGCATGATCACATTACAAAAGTGTAGCAAACTCTAGGGAAGAAATCGTACGAGAAATTCCATACCAGATGGCTATTTGAAGAATTCATCCATGATGTCCTTGATTTTCTTCACGTCTGCTCCAACCACAGTGGCCACCTTCTTCCCACCATTGAAGAAGCTGAGCGTCGGCTGCAAGAACACAGCAAGAAAGATGATAGTAGCATGCTGGGAACGAGATGAGCAGAGAGAAAGGCCATGAGGAGACAGCTGGCCCAACAAATAGTAATTTGGTTGGAATCGGATCATCAAAATTCTAGATGAATTATGCAAACTTGGATAATTTATCAAAAAGTATAGCCTTGTCAATCATTTCAGCACATCAAGATCAGCATGCAAACTTCAAACGCTGCATTGTTAGACTCTTTTTTTTTTTGGTCAAAGATTGGTGAGGGCATATTTGTATTATAAAGAACGCCAGGGAGATTTTTTTAAAAATCAATTGTATCCACAATTACAGCTAATAAATCGAGGCACTGGAAGTTAAATAAGCACTAAATTTGCACCTACCACAGCGGAGATCCCTAACTCACTTAATTTGCTCTGCATGCCCTCCTGAATCAATAAATGAATATCAGAAAATATATCACACACAAACTGGTCCAGAAATTTAACCTATACAAATAATAGATTGGCAAAGGTGAAATAAGGAATCAGAAGCTGCAAATTGTAAATTCAGTGGGTTTTCTAGATCTGGATACCTAGCAGAAATAAAATTCTAGAATTTTCTATTTCCGAGGTGAAAAATGAGCATTCTTTTGTGAGTAGAGTAGCAGAGTCGACTCAATCACCCAGAATATAAGAAATGATGGAGATAGTACATGCAAAACAACTAATGAAGTGGAATAAGGCAAGCAATAAACAGCAGATTCAGTAAGCCTTGCTGTTGTCACAAATGAACCTGTGGAGGCAACTCAAAATTTCGATAGATATATAAATTTATATATTTATCAAATCACATCTCTACTGATTTTTCAGCTAAAAAAAGGCACCCCGCAATGGAAAGGGTTAACAGCTTTCGAGCAAAAGAGGCCCCGTTCCATGCTGAAGACCACAGCAAAGAAGCAGCAAATGCTTCCTCATTGGCCTCTCATCCTTGAAACACTACCAGATACAGGTGTGCTTTGAAGTTAGAATATAAATATTCAACTAAAAAAAGACTCACGTCACATATTTTCAGGGAAATATTCCACAACTACTTTTTCTGAAAGATAGCACCGATTTTCACTGAACAATAAGAGCATGCTCTATATATGTTAATAAAGAGCTGCACATACCTTTTGACTCCTTTATATTACACAAACAATATTCCTTTTAACAATAGCTACCAATTGACATTCTCTTAAACTGCACAGAGTGGAATGTAAACCAACGCAGTAGACTATCTTATCATGCCTTGCTTACCAGTCCCAATCTAACCATACAAAATCTTCAATAAACTGAATTTTATCCTATACATACTCTGCTGCATTTAATTTCTCCAAAGACTCGACCAACTTTTTAAGAGAAAAATTCAATCTGATTCTTGACGAATGCCCCCACCCAGTCAAACTTTCAAAACATAGGACTGTCATCTGTATTAAATTCCTAAAAGTAATTTCATTCATCGTAGCCCAAAGCAATAACAAGGGGACTTATTGTTCATGAACCAATTCCAAGCTAGCGTGTCCCTCGCATTCAGATACAGAAACGAAAAGGAAAAAAAAATCATTCCTCATCCAAACATGAGGAGGCCAGATTCACTCAAGCCAAGTCAAATAAGACCAGAGCAAAATCAGAGATAATTCAATCTATTTTTCCATCTTTTCGAAACAGAAAGGAAGGATGAAAGGGCCACTGCATACTAAAAGATTGATTCTGAACCAGATGAGCATATTGAGCAAACCACACCAGGATAAATCGGGGAATAAGGTCATTGCATCAGATAACTCCTCTTCAGTCAAGAAGTCAGTTTTCTCAGATTTAAGAAGGTAGTATCACAGACACAACCATTGCTAATAGGCTGCACTAATTCCCAAAGTTAGAAATTGAAATTCATAGTTAATTTGAACTTTGTTTCTAGATGCAGTGATCATTATATGATCATTATACAATTTCTTGAACGTAGAAACATCAAATTGATAGAAACTGTGATTCACCTTTCGAAACAAGTGGTGAAAACATGGAAAATAAAAAATAGGAAAAAATCACAAAATCCCAATTACCATATCAATGTCAATCTTATACGTGACACAAGGTGGATACATCTTACTAAGTTGGTTTACAACTGGAGCTAAAAATTTACCTGTAAGGAGAAAAAAAAGAAAATGAAGTTAATTAAAATAAGCTATAAATGTGAATTTGATGACAACATATTGCATTTGCACATTAATTAAATGATTGGAGAACAAAGAATGAATGGAAGAGAATTCATTAAATAATGTCCTGGAGGAGTAGATCAGTCCTCTTTTCTGTTGTGCCAGTTCTCCTTTATTCATCTTTTTTCTTCCTCCTCTTCTTCTTCCCTTCGGTTCTTCTCCTTCATTCAATTATTCTAGTTAAGCAGAAAATTATCAAATAACCTACATGTCAAAAGGGACTGCCAACATCTCGTTTTCTTCCACAGTGGTCCATGAGTTGCTGCTGATAAATAATCCATTTACATTACCAGCTCGCTTGAGCCCTTAGACCATCCCATTCAGGTCATCCAATTTGGAAAAAATCATAGGAAAAACTATCATTCTCGATTCTGCATCAATAACCTAAGATGACATCAAAAGAGGCATCACAGCAAGTCCTCAATATGCACAGAACGTTATTCTTCCAAGTCTTCTAAATCTCCAAGGAAGTGTGTATTTAATTTGCAGAAAGTTCAGGATAACATACGACAGATTTTACAGAGTAACTTTTGAATAGGGAATGCTATGAAATTTAACCAATTGGACAAATAAGCAAGGTAATTAGAATATTAAACTAATATGACTCTCTATATTACAACCAACTCAAGAATAATAAGGTAACCATAAAGTAATTCCACATTATGTAGACATCTGTGGTATGGGAATAGATGAAATCCCAGGCATTGTGGGAACCTACCAACCAGTATTAACTTAAAAAGATGAAAAACACAGCAGTTATTAATTAACGTATAAAGGCATTGTGGATCAATGAGAATAAATGAATAAAATGTTTACATCAAGAAAAAAGTATATAAAACATCAAACACTGTTGTGTGCTCAATGAGAGTCCTCATCATTTATTGTAAAACACTAAGAATTTCAGATTATCAGTGAGATTCTTCACGAGCTATTTAAATAACATTAAAGATAGAACAACGAATTCAGCAATGAAATTCTAGTCTAACACAAGGCTTAAATTTGAACCTACTCGAAAGACAAGCATATATATAAGCAATGAAGTTACACATAATTGATGCAAGAAAGGGATTAAACTTCTCAAGGCCTAACACATCAGAGTATCCCAGTTTATACGATGCCAAAAATGGTAAAATGCAGCAGAAAGTCAACATCGATCGTCAGCTAAACTGGAGAACAGCTTACAGGGACCACACCACACTGCAGAGAAGTAGAAAATCGCAGGTAGAGCGCCCTCTGGAACACAATACCAAGATCAGAATAATTAATAATTGGAAATAAAACCACGCATCGTAGGAGTGAGAAAATAGCACTCAGAAGGTGGCGAAGAAAGGCGCGTTACCTTGGACCTTCTTGAGCGAGTTATTAAAGTCCTCTTCAGACTCAATGATGATGGCATCTGGTGAACCTACAAGAAGATAAATCCCCATCCTCAGCTCCACAACCACAAGCGGGAAAATGGAATAGAAGTAAACAAAACGGGGAAGATGAGCTCGCAGAAAGTGAAATGATAGCCGTATTCACCATCAGTTGAGGCGGGGTTGGAACAGAAGGTCCGGCAGGCGAGGGGGAGAGGGAAAAAGGATGAGGAGCCCCCAACGCGAGCGAGAACGAGCCCGGCAGAGGTCGGGAACGGCGGTCGAGTTTCGAAGGGGGAGACAGCTCCGGACGTGGAAGCAAGGCTCCCGCATAAAGGAGGAGCACTGCCTGCGGGGGAGCCGATACAGCGGCGCTGCAGCACCGATCGGAGGACAGAGGCCCCGAGCTGCGGCGGGACCTTTCTACCCATTCTTCTCTGTCTCGCTCTGACTCTCTCCCCTTTTCCTTCCGACTTTTAAGGCTATATATAGTTACCATGTGACTTGAATAGTACCCCCAATCAGGTGTGATTCTACTGCACTTTTATCGTACACAATTTGTCGTAGCATGCTAGATAGTTTTAATAAACAAAAATTAGCAATTACTAAAGAAATCAGAAAAAAAAGCATTTGCGTCATTCATGGGTGAACACTAGCCCGATGAGGAAAGATTAGAGCATGTCTATTCTTGTTATTTTCATATAATTTTTGTTGATTTTGTGTCAACTCAAGTCTTAAATTAGTCATCATCTTTACTAAATAGGGTATGAATTTCAAGTCCCTAGTTTTTTTTTTGGTTCTAAACTTCCAAAAAATCTTATGATTTTTCGTGAAGAAATTAACTGAAATCATGGCTATGAGAAATAAATCCAAGTAATGGTCATGACAGTTCCTTGTGAGGTCAAGGTGAGCTCTTAATTTGGGCATTGGATATAAAAAAATAGTTCAAAGGGTTTGAGATAATATTTTATAGATGATGGGAAGGTGATAGAACACCAATCTTTTCTAAAAGAGTGGAGAAAAAGGAAGTTGATTTTGACAAGTGAGGCATTGATCAAAGTTGAAACCCTTCAACAAATCCCTTTTGAGTAAATGATGGAGTCCCAATTATTGTTCTTCCAAGTGCATTTATGCCATTATCAAAGGAGCCTCATCCCTTGTTAGAGAGGGACATTAGAAAAAGGGTACAATCACATAATGCTCAAAAAATGTTCACTCATAGAACAATCTTCTCCTTTTCATTGTCCCATTTCAAAATGAGATAAGATAAGGGCATGGGAAATGTTGTCCCAACTTAGGCTAAATATGATATCAAGATGGGGAGGGGGGGATGAAATGATCTTTAAAAAAAAATCTTACTTTTTTGTATTTCTGGCCTATTTTATTAGTTCTACACTAAGCATGTCAAGGTACTCTAAATTGGGTTGACAAAAACTAAGTTAGGTTGATGTATTATGTTTTCACAAACTAGTTGCATTGATTGGGATGACACACCTGGCTGACACATTAGGTTCTCATAAACTAGTTCATCTGATCTTGATTGGGTTGAAACACTAGGTAGACACAAATTATGAAAGTAAAATGGCACTCAAATTTACAATAGTTTAGCATTTCCTAGCTTATCTACACTTACCAATGGTTCCTATCCTTGTTTTCCACTATTCTCCATATAATAACTACAATTCATAATCATAGGATCATAACATCTATTTATATAATAGTTTTAATGTGTCTATCTCCCAAACTAGGCAACTAAGGCAATAGTTTGCCTTTCTCTTCCTTTTTACCAATGCTCCTTAAATAGTCTTTACATGAAATGATATTTATAAACTTAGAAACCAATATTGAGTTGACACACTTCCATAGATTTGGATTCATTTGACACCTAAAGAAGCTTTGGCAAAGTTAACTCTAGGGAGAAACTCTAGCAAGTGTGTAGGGATTTGATATGTCGTTGAAATACTACTTGAAACCTCATATGTGATGTTATTTTTATTTTAAAAAAACTCTATTAGATTTAAATATCTAAGATTTATTAGTCAAATATTAGTTGCATCAATTATTGAATTTAAGGTAATATTAAGATCAATGAGGGGGTTGAATTAATTAGTCTAATTTTCTTGACTTGTTTTCTTATATTGATTTCATAGATCTAAATGTTGAGGACACTTAGGTTTTTGATCCCCTAACTTCCTAATATGTCTTCATTATCATGAGTTAATAATTAATTAATAATATAATTTTAATCTTAATTCATAATAAATAGACTTATTATTTATGTTAAATTATGAAAAGTAGTTTTTAATTAGTTAATTTGATTTTTTAGCTATTATGTGATTTTATGTAAATTTATGTAATTTTTATAATCTTCTTTTTTGAGATAAATAAAGAGTGATAAAATAAAATAAAAAGATAGAAAAAGGGTAGAACTTTTTGACTAGCAAATCTTACAAGCGGGTCAAAAGCACCGTCTAGTGGAGCCACAAGCAAAGGGTCTCAGGTGGCTATGGACAGATCAATAAGGAACACATGTGCATCAGTCTTCTTCTATGTCATTGGTGGCCAACTAGATGTAAGATAAGGAGTGGTCATGCACATGTGAGAGAGAGGCTTATTAATCATAAAATCTTCTATCACTATTTATATCTGAAAACTTGTAAAATAATTAATGTGGGACTAAATTGGCTTTCTGAAGGTTTTTAATGATTTTAATATTGAAAATATCTATTATTTATAAGAACAAGATATCTATATGACGTCACTTTATAAAGGTGTTTGAGTACTTATTTTACTCTCTCATGTAGGTAGGCAATCAATGAGAGTTTAAATTCTACTAGAGCCAAAACTCATATTTTTATATGATTAAATCATAATTTTTTTATAGATTATTAATGAATAATTAAGCCATCAGAATTACTTAATCATCAATAATTTTTTTGTCAACGCAATTCACAAAGTATTATTACTAAAATTATTAAACAATTCTAGATAAAAGAATCTCAAATCCATCAAGTAAATCATCTTCGATTAATCAATGAATAAGTCATCATCAAGAAGAGGATAATTCATCAAAAGACAAGTCATCACCTCTTGAAAACATACTAGATGTGATGAGGAGACTCTTCTTACTATGTAAACTTGAGGATGAAGCTCTCTCTAAGATACATCCCACCTTCATCTAACTTGTCTCTACCATGTGATAGTTATTAAAGAGCCATAAAATCATCATTTTTTTATTCTACTAAGTGACAGTTATTGAAGATGATTCAATGCCTCACTTCACTGATTTCTAAACTTTACAAGAAGATTTAAAGATTACTAATATTATCTTAGTCTAAAGAGAACTTTTGAGGTCGTATACATTCCATGATAATCTTCCTAAATGCTAAAAATTATGACAATCACTATTATAAGGCTAAAACTCTATCTTTTTTATTTTCAACTTGATTTTTACTTAATTTAGTGATGCTTTGTGTGATTTTGAGACTTGAAACTATTCTCCATTCAATTACAATTTTTTTAACTTTTATAGATCTTAATTTGACAAATTAATTCATATGTAAATAGTTACACAAGGATCACTAGGTATAACTCTATTTTTTTCTAATTAATGTTTGTTGGGATGTTGATGACCACACCCTTATTTTCCTTTTTCATGAATTATAAATATATTTTATTTTTATTTCTTAGTCTAAAAGTCATAAAAAATTATATTCTTTACAAAAAAATTAAAAATATTATCTAATATTATATTACATCTCTATGATTGTCTTAAAAAATCTTTACTATTTTTAAAATTTTTATTAAATTATAATTGATATATTTATTCAGAAATACTTTTAAATATTTGATCAATTGATATTTTCTAAGTTTATAAATATTTAAATTTGTATGATTTATTATACAACGACTAAGTCACATTAGCCCTTATATCCGCTTAAGAACACTTTCTTCTTATATTCGACTAAAATAATATTTAGTGACAACTACGAATTACTTGATTCATCTTACTTAAAATTTCACAACAAAATTATTTTCTAGATTTACAATTTAAGTGGGCTTAAGTCATCTATAGGAACAATTACTTTGTATGATAAGTCAAAACTTAATCACAAGTTTATGTCATATAAATAAAGGATTTGATGAAGTAATGAGTCGCAATTGAATTGAGCTTGATTGTAGAAGATATTATGGAAAAAATCATGATGAGGAAAATATTTTTAGATCAAGAATTATTGAACTTATTGTCTTCATAGTATTGAATGAAACATGAAGTTACACTAAAATCCACATGTAATTCTTTACAAAAATAGTTAGAATATATTTCAAGATCAAAGAGCAATTGATGTTGGGTGTTTGATGTTATTTAGGCATTAGACTAGAGCTGAATTTATCAAGAAACTTGAGTCATGCCTTTCCCTTAATTTCACTATTACTCAACATTAAATTCCTAAACATATTAAGAAATTAAAATGATCATAAACTACTACAATACATCCTTTAAAGGTTTGAATATCCTCTATGTTGAAGCAATAAAGTAGCCACTAAATATTAACTTATATATCTGAAGTTATTGCTTTTGATATATCTAAACATAATTTGTTATTGTTAAAACACATCCATAAGTACATACTGAAAAAGTAATGATTTCACCATCAAATTAAATCTAAATCACCTCAAAATGAAACATGGATCTGAAGTAGACACTATAATTAACAACATTACTTTGACGACATATGGTATTGAAAAATCATCTTTCAATTTATGTTCAATAGTTTTTCAGAAATTTTTTGAAAAGCCATCTAAATAGTTCGAATTTGATCATTTTATTCAGCATAAAAAATGATCATAAAGTAATAATTTTGAATAGTAAATTTCTTGTAAATATTGAATTCAAAACATGAGCATCAAAATATAGTCATTGAATTATCATTGAGACTCTTGACAACATTAATATGGATTCTTATTAATTTATAATTAATTTATTTCAAGCATGTATCCACAAGATCACTCATGTGAGATAGATGTAAATAAAATATTAAACATAACTTGATCCATTTATTGTCCTTATTTATTTGGTCATTATCAAAACATTTTAGGATAAGTAATGCTCATCAAGGCAAGATCCAACAGCACAATAAACTCAGCAAATAATTTATATTGTTACATTTTCAATTTGGCCAACTTTTGAGCAAGTCAATATGTAGATATGTTAGGATGGGATGTTTGGACTATTATTTGGTCATTTGATGTGTCCCTCTTTGTTAGAGATCTTCTAGCATGTCTAATATATTCTTACATGTCTAATTAGCTAGAAATTTTCAATCAATCTCCTTTTTACCTCTCCTAAGGTTTAGTATGATTTTATATAGGTTTGCACACTAGGTTGTCATCCTTTTTCTCTCCTCATCTTTAGTTGGGTAAACAATGG